TCTGGTCAGAGGTGATTGGCTTAGTGCTCAAGTTGAAGACCTCACACACTTAAAGGACCTCAAAGCCATCTATGGAATGCCCCTGCAGCTGCACAGCGAGACACGTTTAGGAGTTCACTATTTATGGGAATTTGTCTTTAGCTTCTTATTTAAAGAAAGCTGTGGCTCTCTTTTAGGTCTGATTTCCAAAGATAGAGCAAAAGCCTAGGTGTGTATTTTAGTGTATATTTGTTTTAAGTTTCACAAAAATATCAAAAAATTTGAGACTGAATAAAATCTGATGACTGTTGATTTAAATACAGGCGACAGAAGGCCAAAACATGTTATCCAAAAATGCTTTGTTGGAAGAAAACATTTTTTTTTTTTTTTCAAAATTAAGTTATCTAGCCTTGATATGATAATACATTTTCCAAATAACTTCTATCATTGAATTTAATGGGCAGATGAGGGTTTTTATCCAAATCTCTGACAGCTGAACCGATTAGGTAATTTTAAAGTTGGATTTTCCAAATATGCAGTAGGAAATATAAGAAAGATTCCAGAAATCATAAAAGTAGTGTATCTGCAGATTGCATATAAACAGGTCTACCAGCACATATTGCTAAAAACCTATGGACTAATATGTTTTCAAAAAGATCCAGGTAAAACAAAAAGTATTTGTCTGTAATGACCAATGGTTTAACGTTTTACTTTTATTTGAAAATGTGCCATTAACAGGAGCCAGAACAAACCAAACCCTTTAACAATTAAAAAACTTGGAGTTAAAATGTTGTGCGTTCACTTTATTACTAAGCCATTAAAATAAAATAAAATACTGGCTATGACGTTATAGGTCAGTGGTAACATAGTAATTTACTCTGTCAGTCTTTCAACATCTTGTCCAAAGAAAATAACTCAAAACCTTCCTCGAAATCAAAAACCTCAGGATTTTACATTTTAAGAGGTTTATTTGATCAGCTTTAGAAAGTAAAACCTCTTCCCACTATAAGAGAGGAAAACTCAAAAAAAATAAATCTATGCATAGGGGTCTTAATTTGTAGATGTAAGTCAATAAACGTGAATACATGTTGCATTTATTTCGTGTGGTCAAATCATACATAAATTTGACATCAGATGTTTTATCTGTGACTATATAAGTTTAGAAGTTAGAAAAATAAGTTGCCTGTGTAAATTCCCGGTCAGTCCAGGGCATGACCTCCACTAAACAGGCATAAACCAAAGTAGGGCTGAAACAATTAATCGGATAAATTGCGATTAATTACTGACATAATTGTCATCTAATTTAGTAATGGTTAACTGGAGTATAGAGATTGTGAAACATGCCTTTAGGTGACAGAGCAAACTACTTAGAGCTGTAATTATACCATATACGTTCTTCAACATCAGCTGTTATATGAGGATGATTTTTAGAAGTTTTGAAATTGCTTCAGCAGACATGTCCTGTTTGATTCCTTTGCTTACGTACGGTCCGGCATTAGAGATAAAAAACTCATATTGACACGAACATAACCTTGAGAGAGTGACATCCCTTCAGCTATTCAATCTGATTGGTCGGGCACCGGCACGGCCTACCCTTCCCTACCAAACCTCTGACACTCATCATCAGCACGCATGGGCATCTGTTCCCAAGTGTGTGCAGATGACTTCTGCCATGTGCGTGTGTTTGTAATGAGTCTGCCTATGATCAGGTTTGTTTGTAGTTCGTAGTTCGTCCAACACGACAAATAAAGGAGGCAAGTGGCATGTCATGTGAGCATATGTTGATGATCTGTCTATCTAGAACTATCTATTAATCTATCTAGGGGTCACGACCATTGTCTTTTTTTTTTTTCACGTTCTATGAAGGAGGGGCCCGCACAAAGTGGGACTGCCGTCATAGGCCGAACAAGGACCTCCCTCCTCCCTTTTAAACAGCTTACCTGAGTTTACAAAAAGAGCCGCGCCTCCTCGTTCATTCACTCATCCGTCTTCTGTCGTTCAACTACAAACCCATTGATTCTTAAAAAAAAAAAAACTGGATTGGACGCTCTTTATGAACCTTCTCAGTAAGTGAGCGTAATTGTTACCTGGAATATGAACAAGATGTTTTTGTTTTGTTGGTGTGTTTTTTGTTGTTGTTGTTTGTTTGTTTTTTGTTTTTTTTTCAAATAACAGAGGTCAGTGTTTAGTTTTCAAGTTTTGTCAGCAGACTGTCGTTTTCAGTGGTGCACATGTAATTTCTTTTGGACCAATGCTTAGCTTCTGAGCCGCGTCCTGCCTGAAGGAACTTGGCAGGCGGCTGATGTAAGATTTGGTTTTGGGTGGAGAAAATATGGGCTTGCTGTTAAAAGGGACTTTTTTTTTTAGCTTTATTTAAATACCTGTTATAGATCTGCAGGTATTATATTAGCATTTACTGTAAATCCAAAAAGTGAAATGAAATACGAGTAGCAAGTTTCATTTTTATTTCCTCCTTTTTTGCATGCATTTGTTTGCATGTTTTGCAGAGTAAACTGTGACGCCATATTACACCTATGGGCTTTTAATCATATCTGCTTTGATCAAAGAAGCTAAATCCAGCTGTCAGTATTGTGTCATAGTTTGTATTAAAACAGAGGCAATTAAAACAGATTAAGTAATGACAGCTCGGGGTCATGATTCTCAGCCAAGGCCTCTTTAAGAAATGACTTTATGGTCTGTTTCATACAGTAGTTCTATTTTCTTATCCCTGCTGTGACTTTGTGAATTATCTTCCAATTTATTGTTGAGCGTTCCTTTTGTCGCAGCCAAAAGGTCGTGTGAAATGAACCCAGTCAGACAGGTTAATCCTCTTGGCAGCAACAGGCACAAAACTTTCACTCGGTCCATTTTGCCCCGCCGCCGAGGCGGACACAGTGAGATTAGGCGTACCCTAGTGTTCGATCTGGTGTTTGTGGTAATGGAGCCTCTAAATCTCCTTTGGCTCAGTGATTCAAGGTTTTTATTATGACAAGGTTATGATCACAGGAAGAGCGAGAGTCAATCAGAGATGCCAACATCATGTGATGGCTAGTGTCATGCTGTGGGCCAACATAGTGGAGGTTGAGCCATGATGGAAAGGGCAGACATACATGGCTTCTTTAGCCTGCATCTCTTGTTCCTGTTGCCAAATTAAAAGGTTTGTTAATGTCTGACTGATTCTTCTGGTCTGTCCCACTATGATGCAAATACTTTGTTGCTCAAAACACTTCCTTCTTTAAAGTGTTGTTGACTCAAACACCTAATGGTGTTTTCAAAGCTGATACTGGTGGAAAATAACTGGTGCTGCAGAAAGTAGCCTTTAGCAAAACTTAAACTAAAGTTTCAACACTAATCTTTATCAAATTTTGATTTTTTTTTTTTTGTTAAGTAATTCATCTTGCATGTCCAAATGTGAAAAGCATGAAGACATCTGCAAATTTACTTTAAACAGGTCCAACTTTGCACCCCTAACTCTGCTTATAGGATGGTAAAAAGTTCAGTTAAGGTTGGAGAACCAGTTAAAACCAGTTAGCTTCAGTGTGTCGGATTTGTCTGCTTGGTCCCTACTGACATTTCGATCGCAATCATTTCATCTGAATGAATGTGCTTTAACAAATTAGAAATACTAATTACTGCAGTGGTTTCTGCTTTCAGATATGTGGAGGCCATATTGGATTCTCAGCTTTGCCTTTTATTTCCTGGTCTAAATTTGAGCTGTTGTATTTTTATCCTTTTTTACCACAATTCCCAATGAATTTTGAGTGTGTATCACACATAGGGCAGGATGCAGGTTTAATAACATTGATAGTGACTTTTCCAAAAGGCCAATCCTTTATCTGCCAAGCTCAACCGATCAAAGTGAAATGAATAAAAAATGCTTTTGCCAGGAAGGGCTTTTTAGAGACAGACGAAGGCAATGAATGTTCTGAAGCTGAGAAATGCTGTAAGCGTCTCCTTTGCTTGCTTATTGAAACCAACCCAGTCCTGCCAGTCTCTAAATATGGGTTCTGAGTAGCCAGTTTTATCCACACATATAGGTGCAACACAATCAAAAACCTGAACAAGCTCTTTGTAAGAAAGACAGCTTAATATATATTTTTAAACTTGCTGAATTTATCCCTATAGCTGAGGTTTGCCTGGTTGGTTTTTCGGTCAGCGTGTCCCGCTGTGGATCTTCTCCTGGGACCGAGTCAAAGAGTTCTTTGTGCGAACAACAAACAACACTGTAAATCATTTTAGCAGAAGTTGCATTAGAGTCATGCCTGCTTGATTCCCTGCCTTTTGACCTCTCTGTTATATAACTTATTGATTAGTTGCACTGGCGGAAAATAGAAAGTAGAAAGTTTAGCGCCTCTGCTTTTTTTCCCCTTTTGCATCATCTCTGGATTTTACTGAGTCAAAAAACAAGAAACAAATCAACATATATGTTGAGCTCTAAATTGTGTTTCTTAATTGTCTTTGAGATTACGTTGTTTTTTTTTACGCAGAAGGTGATTAAATTCATCACAACATGTTTACCTCAGGTTTCCTCAGGGGGTGTTTGTGTTAATTATAACCACTTTCTATGATCCACCCAACGACCGGAGATAATATGCCCTTTAAGGCTGTGGTGGACTGCAATTTATGATACACCCAACGTTTAGACTAGGCATTTTTAGACTGGTCTTTAGGGCTAAATTTGAAAAAGGCCGTAATACTGTCTGCTCACCTAGTATGAATACATGTGTTCGCAAAACCATAGTCAACCAGACTATCCCATTGTAGCAGGAAATGCTTGGAAATGTAGGCAGTTTTTTTTCTCTTGAAGTGTTCTTCATCAAGGCGAAAAGACTCTGGGGGAGGCTGATAAGGCCCACCAACAAGTGACCATTCAGGTCTGCAATCAGCTGCATATTGCCACTCCTTTAGTCAACTTTTGCTGTCACCCCTTTGGGGAAGACAGTTTTGGTTAAGAAGTCTGCAGCTCTGCACAGAAATCTAAATAGTTGGGACTCAACCCTTTTTTTCTGTTTTCTTTTTAGGCTTTTCTTTTATTTAGTATCAACATCCAGTCACGGTTGAAGTAGAACCTCCTGGTGTCACGTCTTTGTAACGAATAAACGCCGAACAATCGAAGAAACGAAGCATCCTCACCTATCATCTCTCTGCCTCCGCCATAATGCCAGGAGTTAGGGAACTCATGGAGCTGAGGAGGGTCCCCACAGAGGCAGATGATGATAGCACCGCCAGCTTGGACGATTTCAGAGGTCCTATGGATGTGGAAAAGTCCACCATAGCCAGGTCAGCGAACAAAGATTCTAATGTTTTATTTCTTGCAACCCTATGTATTGGAGGACCAGTCATAAAGTCTTATTTCAGTTGTGACTAAAATTTCTCTAAGCAAGTCTTCGACATTTCTTTAGATTTTATTTATCAAGTAAAAAAAAAAAAAAATGCAAGAAGTAATTTTTTCCTAAAATTAGCACTGCCAATAAGTTTTGACTGGATCCTAATAGAATTTAAAGCTCACTCTTTAAGCAGCATGCTCTTAATTTTCTTCTATTTATACATGTATATATTAAAAGGTGGAGTTTCTTTTAGGCTTTGATAATTGTCTGACACTTTAAATATGATTGAGCTCACAAACTAATAATCTAATTTTCTTCTAGAGAGCAAAATTATTAGTTATAATATTGTGATCAACGCCCAACAAGGTTCATCATTTAAACGTAGGAGAGGCCGAACACTCTCCCAGCACTGGAGACTTCCAGTTTATCCTAAACACTTGTTTTCTTGGTCTTCCAGCAGTCAGTATATGGACGATAACGAGGACGGAGAAGAAGACAGGTTTCTGTCCAATGGGCTGATGAAGAAAAGGAAATATGAGGAAGAGGAATATGTAAGGCAATTTATGTCACTCTTCATATACTGTAAACTTTAACACACTTCTGAAACTGTTCTTAATGTCAGAATTTGTGTTGACTTCAGCTAGAAATAAGTTTTCCAATAAGAGCTTTTTACTGAAAGCCATGACAACAATATATGTAATGTTTTCCATCTTATGCCTTTGACAGCATCCTGGCCACGCTTCATTCGGCATGTCTGTTTTCAACCTAAGCAACGCCATCATGGGCAGCGGCATCCTGGGTCTCTCCTACGCCATGGCCAACACTGGCATAGTTCTCTTTACGTAAGTCCTTAGCACCAGAGACTCCTTCAGGTTGCATAAGGTTGGATGTTATGACATCTATGTGCTCATGACACAGATTAGGAAGGGGCCGTGCCCTCATGAATATCGCTGATATGTTTATATAAATAGCATTTGATCACGTGGTCGTTTTGACGTGTATCAGGTGGCATCTTCAGGCATGTACCTCTCTGTCCTTAAACTTTATCAACTCCCGTAAAGGATTTCCATCAAATCTCGTAGTATTACTGCCTCCCATTGTCTGTGCACTTGCTAGTTTTGCAAACTGGTGGACTGCCAACATAGGATAACCTATGAGACAAAATTCTACGTTCAAGTTCCAACGAGTTGGGGCAAAGTTACAGCTGGAGGCTGTTCAGCTCTAAATGTTCTTCTCCAGTATTTCCAGTATGACCCTGCTGTACAGGAGGGTATTTTAAGGAACAGACGTCTGGATGAGTTGGCATTGCTCTGGCACAACTCTGCACAGGTCATTTTAGAACCATGCTAAAGTTGACAAGACACAGTGTCCCATAAGGCTGGCAACCAAACGACACGTCAGGGCAGCAACAGATGAACTTTTACATGAAATCACATAAAGTGTGCTACAACTTGAGCTTTATATCCCTGCTTCATCTTCATAATAAGCCCCTTTCTTTGCAGAATCCTCCTCATTGCTGTGGCAATCCTCTCCTTATACTCTGTGCATCTCCTCCTCATGACCGCTAAAGAAGGAGGTTGGTGTTATATTTATTATATTTATTATGTGGACTTATTAAATCACTATATAATTTTTCAACTTGTGTGCTTGGGTAGGGTCTCTGGTCTATGAAACACTTGGACAGAAAGCCTTCGGTTGGCCTGGGAAAATGGCTGCCTTCGGATCAATAATCATGCAGAACATTGGAGGTAAATCAGAATCTTCTGTAACTGTGCGTAACAGCAGTGTGCGGGCGTATATCTGTCATGTATCTTGTGTCACCCAATCAAAACTGGCCCCTTTGTTATAGTTGCAGTCACTGGCCTTTGAAAGTCTTAATGCAATTTAATCTACAACCACATTGAAGTTTTAAATGTATATTTAAAGACCAAATCAATTCACAGAATGATGGAGGCCTCCTGAAGGCAGATGGCAGTTTTTCATTTTGGGGTATCAGAGATAAAGAGTCAAAATGAAAATGGACTTTTAAAATTTTAATCTGTAGAGAGAAAAAAAAGCACTTTCTGATTTGACTTTTTATGTCTAAGATGTTTTATTGACGGCATATACAAAAAAAGATACATATAGATACAAACCTTTGTCTTTGTTGTCCTGCAGCCATGTCCAGCTACCTCTTTATTGTGAAGTACGAGCTGCCGGAAGTGATCCGAGCCTTCTTACGGTTAGAGGAAAACTCAGGGTGGGTGTCTGATCTCAGGATTATAGTCTAATATTTTTATTTTTTGTTTGATTTCTATAGTTAAGATCTTTCGGTTTTAAATTTCTGTTGTATTTACAGGGAATGGTACCTAAACGGCAACTACCTGGTGGTGTTCGTGTCCATTGGGATTATTCTGCCCTTGTCCCTCCTCAAAAATCTTGGTAAGGACAAACTCTGGTTCACTCAGCTCCTGTAGAAGTTCTTCTGTTGGAAGCCAAATATGTTCTTAAAACTGCCTAGAGACACCTTTGCCAAACCGGCTGTAACACAACTCCACTGAGGTCCTTAGTCAGCCTGGTGGGTTGGAGTTTTAGTAAAATGACACTAGTATTAAACCCATAGTCAGTTCACAGCTCAGACAACATTTATTAGTTTAGTGTTCAGGCCGACATTTTACTGCTCAGCTTCAAAAGATACACATACCAAGTCCTGCAAGCCAGATATAAAGCAAAGAAAAAAGCCAGAAAGTTTAAATGATTACCTAACGACTTAAGTTTGCACCCACTGACCTCAGTGTTTGTATTATATACTTTGAATATGGTTTAACTGGAGGCATTAAAGCCTGTTTGCATCTGCTTTTAGTTGTTCTTTTTTTTTTTTTTTTTTTTCTTTTTTTTTTCTTTTTTTTAGAAATGGCCTAAACCCCCCATACAAAAAAAAAATTGATTATTTGTTTTCTGTTTGTTTTTTTGTCTAGGTTATCTTGGCTACACCAGTGGTTTTTCTCTTTCTTGTATGGTCTTCTTTCTTGCTGTGGTAAGTTATCCTGGGACTGGCTTGCTTTTAAAAGATTTATATAGTTTATATATATATATAGATAGACAGACAGATAGACAGACAGACTAGGTATATATATATATATATATATATATAGAAAGAGAGAGAGAAATATTTTATACAATAAAAAAAACAAAAATTATAAGTGTGGCATGGGTCTGTTACCGGTTCTTAAGGTATGCCAAAGATGTTAAAGGTTTCAAAACCATTTAAATATTTATTCAGTTCCAATTATGCAAAATCATTTAAATAATATATTCTCTTTCGCCTTTCGTCCACTTTTTGAAAGAAGGTATTTCGCTTGCTTACATAGGAAAAATCTGATGCTCTGAAATAGAAAAAAGTATATATATATATATATTGATATTCATGAGAGGAAGGAGATATGTCAATATCGATCCTTTTAGGTAATGTCAGTATTAATGGTTGATTTAAATAACTTAACCATGTGTTACTATATAAATAGAAGAGTGTGTCTATTATAGAAAAGCACTTAAAAGTTAACATTAAATTAGATTGGGTGCTATTTTTTAACTAATCTTATACGGTAAATCTCATCCCAGTTCATGCCACTGATTTCTAGATTCTACAGATTTCCTAATATATAACCTGCCAAAATGCAAATTCGCTTTTTTTTTTTTTTTTTGTTTCAACTGTTTTGAATATGCTATCATTATTGGAAGCCTCTGGAATCTGAAATGAGAACCAAAAAGCAAATATATGAGTATAGATTAAAGCTTAAACTAAATATTTGACCAGAGTTCATTTTGACTGTGAAGAAATGTGCCTGTTTCTTTCCAAAAAATGAAGGAAAAAATGTAGACGGCAGATTAAATCCATTGAGGTCCAAGTTTAGTCAAGCAATGTGGGAGGCGTTTGAGCAAAAGAATGATGGAGCAAAAATAGTCTTAAGTCCTAGAACCACAAAAAGGTTTATATTTAGTTTAATTAATCCTAAAGCAAAATGGCAGGAAAAATAGGGTCACCAGAAATGAGCAAAGATATATTTTAGTCAAATTTAATTCTGTTTTTAAAGTTAGGGGTTCAGCTAACATAAAGTGCCATTTTTTAATGATATAAGTGGCAGTGACTGTATAGACCCACAATGACAAACACTATTAAAAAGTTTGCCCATTTAAAATAGGCTTCTTCAGAACACCTATAAAATAAAGAAGTGGGGGTTTTTCTCAATAAACAGCTCAAAATTTCTAAATTTATACATTTTTAGAAGCTCTTAAACCCCAATTTATCCATTTGAAAGTGAAATTAAAGATATTTTCATAGTAACAATGCAATAAATGTTCAGGTAGGGTTACTAATGATTGAAGAAAACTTGGATGGTAATGTTAAGGCTTTTTATTTTTATTTCTCCCAGCTTATCTACAAGAAGACCCAGCTACCGTGCCCTCTTCCTTTCTTTTACGCACATTCATCCAACCTCAGTATGAACACCTCGGACATGTCGGGTCTATATGCGATACGGCACAACACATCGCTGATGGACTTCTCTCGGGCCGACATAACTCCGGCGGTCAGCAGCAGCCAGGACGCTCATCACACCACGGGGGTCCACTTCGAGCCTCACCCAGATGACGAGGAGATGTGCACGCCCAAATACTTTGTCTTCAACTCACAGGTAGGAAGCAGAGGATGCTGGTCGAGCACATTTTCTGTAGCTCAAGTTTTTTTTTTTTATTCAGAAAAAAGGCTCGGAGTGCTGACTCACAAGTAGAATAGACCCAAATTCCTCGAGGCACGAACAAAAGTTTAAGAATGAATAGAGTGGAAACAGGATTATCTGATATCACTTGAATCCCAAGTATTTGCAGGGACACGTTTGGAAAAGGTTGGGTTATCTGAGGGGTGGTTTGGACCATTGTGTGTTCAGTCTATTCATGTTAGGGCTTCTATAATCATAAATCATGATACCAGTTTGACATCTGGTATTAAGTTCCCATGTGAATTAAAGGTTACCTGCTTATGATTCACAAATTACAGTTTCCAATACCTTTAAAGATTCAAGACATTTCTAGACTTCTCAAGAGGAGTAGCCAACTCACCTTTGACCTGGACTGACATCCAAGCAGTCCATCCAAAAAAAGAAAAAGTTTTCACTATTTCAGCAGGGAACCAAATACTAAATGGTTTTTATCTCTGTTGTAGTAAAACAAAGTTGTCTTGTCCCTAATTTATCTCATTAAAATACATTTCTTTGTATTTTGATGCATTATTTCACTTTAAATTGAAATTACAATTTATAAGTCTTCTACAGAATAACATTTAGCTGCAGGTCTTCTTTTTTTCCTATCTAAACCCTGACTATTTTGCTCAGACCTGTAACAGCTTATGTGATGAAATAAATTCACATTTGGATGTATTTCTTTACATATACTACACTGCAAAAAAATTAATCTAAATAAGTAATTTTTTTTCCTTTAAATAAGTGCATTTTTTCTTGAATTAAGGATTTAAGTGAGACACTTTGCCAATGGAACAAACCAATTTACACTTACAATAAGAAAAAAACAATTGTATTGTCTTATTTCAAGTGCATAGTATCTAGATATCTTATTTTAAGAGTAAAAATACTAATTCCATTGGCAAATCATCTTATTTACCTGCTCAAATTAGGGGTAAATACCTTTAATTTAAGACATTTTTACTCATTTTGAGATCGTTTTTGCAGTGTAGGACATGGCTCTGAAACCTGTTGAACCACTTGTTAATGTCAATGAAACTCTGCTTTGTGGCTGTAAAGGGAAACCAAGCATAATTAAAAAAGGAATCTGCATAAAATAAATGACTCATTGTATATTAAATGCTGTTTTGTTCTTAGATCAAAAAACATAAACCTATAATTCATATGCTTGGTTTTACTGTATTTTTCTCAATTCCTGAGGGTTTAACTCTTTAAAAAACTTTTTTTTCCACCCCACAGACTGCATATACTGTACCCATCCTGGCCTTTGCATTTGTCTGTCATCCTGAAGTGCTGCCGATCTACAGTGAGCTGAAAGAGTGAGTTTATTTCCTCTCATGTCAGGCAATATAATTTCCTTCAAACCTGAAAAACCAACGATATTATCGACTAACTTAATCCCCTCATAGGAAATGTTTAGACATAGTGTGACCTTCATTAATTGTACATTTCATTGCTGTGTTTGCAGCCGCAGCCGGAGAAAAATGCAGAACGTCTCCAACCTGTCCATCCTCGCCATGCTCATCATGTACATGCTGTCGGCTCTGTTTGGCTACCTCACCTTTTATGGTATGAGCAATAATTCTCATAAAAACTGAGCGATATTAAATGATTTTCATTTATCTAAAACAGTAGACATACATTTTATATAAAATAGGCCTATTTATACCACATACCAAAATCACAGGTCGTGTTTTTGTCATTCTATTTGTGGAGCTATGATAACCACTCAGACTTTTGTTATGATCTGCCACTATTTGTTTAAGCAGCATCACTCTGTGCTTGGCATCACATACAAGCACATTACAACCTTACCAGGAGAAAAAACCAAGTAGTTCCCATCAAACTTGTCGATTTAGGCAATTTTTTTGATTACATGCATTATTTAAAATGACTCTAGGATCAAAAGTATTGAAATTTGAATGTGAAATCCGATTCTGGTACCTGAGATGTCTATATTTTAGCATTGATCCACACATCACTAATATGTGCATGGATTTGTTTAAGTGAGCTGGCTTTAAAAGCTGTGATATTCCTGCATGTCTATTGCAGGTAATGTGGAGGATGAGCTACTGCACACCTTTACCAAAGTCTACAAGTTTGACACCATGCTGCTGTTGGTGCGCCTGGCCGTCCTCACCGCCGTCACGCTGACAGTCCCCATCGTGCTTTTCCCTGTAAGTACATGTCGATTCAAGCAAAGCTTGGAAGCGTCTTCCCGGCTGGCTGGGCTTCACTTCTTCACCTTCATCAGAACTTTTTAAACATAATAGTTCCCCTTAATCAATGTAACATAGCCTGAGTTTCACTCTTTTCCACTTTCGTTTCTCAGCCTCATAACAGGCAGTTTGTTTATAAGGTTGCCCTGTTTGATTTACGTCAGAGCACTTAAAACACACGTAAAGACACACCTCCACTTTAAATGTTAAGCATTTGCTGCCTGTGAGTCCATGTGGTTCTCCTTACAGGGTGCAACAGAGCCCTTCTGTTTTTATTTGTCAGTTTCTAGACTGAGCAGTTTTTTTCCGCTGCCACCTTGGGAAAAATAAACAGAACTCACTGTTTGGTTGCAGGTCCTTTTGTCGTCACTCAGGAACCCAAGCACAAACCCTGTGGTTGTAAAACCCCACGCCTCTTTATTGCACCGCTATTATTTTAACGTCACTAAACCCTTTTTCTTTTTCTCAATATCTGTTCTTATTGGGTCACATGGCAACAAGTCACCAAAACGTATCGACTCTTATTCATTCACCATGTGCCCCTTATTCATTCACCATGTGCCCTTCTTCCCTCCATTTCCATATATGGTCATGGGATAATTTTAGCCTGTGCCATCTGACACCAGGAGAACAAAAAAGGCCCACTGGTCAGTGGAAGTTTCCTGCCTCCTTTAGGCTCACCAACGCTCACACCCATGTCAGTTAATGTTATAAGCTGCCTCTGACATTGTTGTAATTACACCAGCCTACCAAAAAGGGGCAGCATTTTTCCTTTTTTTCAATACTGAAGCTGTGGCTGTAAAGCAGGCATCCCCAAAGTCGCTGTCCTGCAAGTTTTAGAGGTTTCCTTCCTCCAGCACAGCTGATTTTAATTGAAGGCTCATTAACAGGCTTTTTTCAACTGCAATCATCATAATCAGCAGTGCTAAAGCAGGAAAACCTCTAAAACATGAAGGACAGCGGCCCTGGGGATGCCTGCTGTAAAGCTTTAGTGACTGGAGGCTATTGCAGCTTGATGCAACAAGTTTTGCATTACTTCGAAATCAGTTTGTGAGTTTTGGCTTTTTTTTTTTCTCCAACAGAGAAATTTTTGTTTGCACCTTTTAGCTTTTTTTTTTTCCTTTTTTCGTAAAGCAAGGTGTGGGAAACTCAATGTTTCCCTTCCTAAGAAATCTGCTGCAGATGTTTTAGAGGCTGAGTCTCAGCAGTGGAAAAACCCTGACCCTCAGTGAGATAGCAGAGGCAGGGAAGCACGGAGCAGGCAGGGGGAGTACATTCCTCGACATATCTTGTCGTATAATCCTCCGCCCAGTGGGCCGGACTTTAACACCCCAGCTTCACACATTCCTCGAAAAGTGTTGGCAAGGTTCAGAAATCAGCTTGTGAACGGCTCTGTTTTTAAAATACAGTCAGTGATAATTCTAATGTTGCTTATCATGACATAACAAAAAACTATCTGTTTCTTACCAGATAATGAACCTATAAGCTTAAATGTGCAAAAATAAACAACAGATTCCAAAACTGCCTTTATCTATTATTATAAAACAAAGCAGTGGGAAAAAGTGAGGAGATTTTCTTGCTGTTTCCACTGGACCAAATGTGGGGAAGTAGCAGGCAGAGGACGCTAAACAAATGCAGTGACCATCAACTGGTGCATGTTGGTAAAAGCAATAAATTATATACAAAAAAAATATGAAATGAAAGCAGGATGCCAATTTTAGCTGAACTAAGCCCCCTTTTTTACGACTTTTTGTTGCTGAAGTTAAGGTTAATAGGTCCATGTTGCTTGTAGGAAGCTGCCTCTTGCAAATAAAAGCACTTCACCTCTCCATCTTGAAAGTTTTCAGATGGTAAAAAAAATAAGGATTACTTTCAGGTTAAAAGCGTTATCTACACATTAAGGTTTAACTAAAAACTATGTTGAGGTTCCTGTAGGAGGAAGCCTTAATTAAAATATAGCAGCACAAACAGCTTTAAACCTATGCATCAAAGTCCTTTTGTTAGAAAGCTTTTCAGAACTGGTTTTATCTGTGTGCACCTGTGGCTGCAAAAAGCTGAATCACTTCCCTTTCTCATAAATGATTTCTAATGAACAACCTGTCTCTGTCAGCATGTAAATAAATTAGGTGGTATGGCGAGTCCTGCTGAGAGAGCGCATTATTGGAGCCGTGCCTGGCATCCCTGTTAGAGATGCAGGTGTGCAGCATTAGGAATGTTTCATTAGCTCCCCATAACTATTCATACTGTAAATAAATCAGCTTCTGCTGCACATTTGGAAGACCGCGAAAGAAAAATGTGAGACATTGGACACAAAGAGCTGCTTTGTCTCACCGTTGTTCTGCCAAGTTTCCATCTGGCCTCCTGAATCCTCCTGGCATAATTGAAAGAAAACCTCAGCCGACCTTCAGCGAGAGATTAACATTAGCTTTGTCTGCAACCGTCCTTGGCTTCTGTGGCAACGCAGCAAATGTGAGCAGAGACCATACACGTATGTATGTGTGTGTGTAACCTGAAAGTAAATGTGTGTGTAGAGGATGGGGGGGTGGCGGTCACATGAAGACATAAAGGGGGGACGCTAACCGGAGCCGGATCACACGGGGCTTTTCCGAGGATCTGGTGCATAATGAAAGGGCTTTATGTGGAGTCAGACGTGTCCCAGTTCTCAGGCCAATGAGGCCATGAGGTGTGATCTTACCTTTATAAACATTAAATCATTTCAACTTTTAAAGCAGCTACAATACTTCTACATAATCCTGTTAATGAAACACATCTGAGATGAAACAACATGAAATATTTTAACATTATAAAACAATATTAGGTACTTTAACCACAAATCAAACATGAAATAGAAATTCTAATTTCATTTAGTTTATGGTAAAATCTAAAATATAGATTTAAAAAAATGTAATCACAAAAAAATTTTTTAAAGAAAAAGTCTATTTACAAATGTTAACGTGACTCAATGGTTGGTAATAAGTAGCTTAGTGGATTTTAGGGGAAACTAAAGTCTTTGTAATGTAGAAATGTAGAATTATGTTTAACCCAAAAACAAATGAATACAGACATTTAAAATCAATCAAATCTAACAGCATTCAGAGGAAATGTAGGCACTACATTCTGGAAGATGTGAAGAATAAATTTTCAAGTAAAACTTTTTTTTTCCTTTTTTTTAAGAGAACAAAATTTATTTAGGAATTCAAAAGCATATAAACAAAATTACCTCTCAGAGAAAATGGAAAAAAAAAAAACAATATAAGCCTGAATTCCCTTTAAAACACTTGAAAAAGCAAATATGCAAGGTTAAACTAGAGAAAAATATACAATCAAATGAACTTTCTTAAAGTTTAAAAAACAGATTATGTAAGATCACCACTAGAGGGCTCACGTTCTTTTCATTGGTGCCCTTTGTTAAGGTTACAGGGGGAACTACCCCTATCAAAAAAAAATATGAATTTCAGTTTCTATTTTCCGTTGATGCTTGAGTGCTTCCTTAGCCATGCAAAAAACTTTGAGGTTCACTTCCTCTCGATATTTTCACTTGTAAGGGCCTTTTCACTGTCACTGCTGTTATTTTCCACACTGTCAGTGTAAAGTGAAGCAGAAATAGTGTCCACATCTTGCCTCAGTCTCTCTGTATACAGTTTGTCTTTCACTTTACTAGAGTGTGTAGAGAAAATATGACCCCTGTGCATGCAGCAGACACTCCATGCTTGCTTTGTTTCTAACCGGCCAAAGCCAGATGCTTCCAGCTCAATTCGGCTCCACGAGTAATCTCTAAGGAGCAGAGGATATATAAATATCACATGGTGAACACCAAAGACTGTGCGCCAGGTAACAGGCTGGTGCTGAATGGTTTAGTACCTTGGAGAGAAATGCTGCATCCAGTCTCTAGTTTTCCAGGCCGTCCACGGGGATAGAGGGAGACTGGTGGAGATGGTCTTCAGTTTAGAACAATTGGGGAAAACTTAGATATGCGCCAAGATCTGATTTTTAAAGCATAATGAGGAAAACTTTTTGACAGTGCAAGCATCTACTTGGTGATTTATGGTAGAGGAAGCACAAAAAATCAAGTCAAATAAAAGTTTTGCTGCACCTAGAAGTGCAGCAAAAATGAATGTCTTCTTTTTATTCAGACTTGACCTTTACTGGAGAAGATTTGATAACATCGAGTCTCTGAGATATGCAAGTCATGCTAGTTGGGCAGGTTAAGCCTCAGTTGTTTTAACATACGACACTTGAGTGGAAAGGTAAAGCACAAAAAAAAGAGTAAGAATGTAAACTCCCAACAGTGACTCCCTCCCTCCCTCTGCGCGTTTGGGCCCGCCCTTCTCTCACTAGCGGCTGATGCAACTTCATAGTCCCATATCACTGCAGGAGATAATCCCAGGCACCAAAGCCGACGGTGCCTTGGGTTTCTCCTGATCCCTACAACCTTTCACCCAGTAAAGGGGGGGGGGGGGGGGGGGGGTTAACAGGCAGCCTGTAGCTCGGGGGGAGAAAGGTGTCTTAGCTGGAATCTGCTAGTTTACCTCCCTCCTTTCTTAAACAAACACACACAGCTCAGGAACAGACCAGCAGGCACAGGTCTGAGAAGAAATTGAATAAAACAGTTATATTAATGTCTTGCAGCAAATTGGGGACTTGCTTTGCTTTGCAAATTATGTAGCTTTACAAATAAAGACTTCTAGGTCTTTTGGTAATTCTGCAAAAGAATTGACAATTCTGTGTTGCAGTGAGCTTGACACAGACATTTTTGATTTATGCCCAATATTGAAGTGTGGTCTGCTCTATGTTATCCACGCCACGACACAAGAGGGACAATCAGGAACTAGCTGTGGGTCTAGATACGGCCGAGGCGGTGAGGAAGTGGGGGCAAGTTTGTGTGACAATGGAGCGACATGAGGGCAAAAAAGAGCGGGGATCCAGGTGGAAAAAGGGTCCCAGCGTTCTCCCGCACCTCGCTCTTCCAGCTAGCCGAGTTGTTTTCCACAATGGCGGTCACACAAACAAAACAAGCCGGTAAGGTACCAAACAGGAAATACACATAGTGTAGAGCGGATGTAGATTTGACCAATCAGAGGCCTCCTGTCTGCGGCACTGTCTGCTGACACCTACAATTTTTGAGAGGTGAACCAGAGTTTCTGCAGAAGGTGCGGGGACCAATCTGCGTTGAGATTCAGATGATCTGGTTTCTGATCATAAACCAGCCTTAACTCTGGAAAAGGGTACCCCAGTGGTGCCTATATTACTAGAGCGGGAACAAGAGAGAAAAGGTCCAATTTGTTGCGTTCCATAAGCACATAGACGAGACAGAAAGCATGTTGGCGAAGTTGCTTGTTTCCTTTAGCAGGACAGGGAATATCAATAAAGATGAATGAAGCTAAATGTAGGGTAATCCTATAAGGAAACCAGTTAGAGCAGCAGACTTGGTACTTGGCCAGGGGTTTACTGCCAGCAGGGCAATGACCATAAGCATGCTCGCATGCAACGCAAACTATTCCAGATGTTGTAATCGAGCGTAACACCTAAATGAGTGTGCTTTGTGTTCTCTCAGATCCGCTCCTCCATCACCACGTTGCTCTTCCGCGGCCGGGAATTCAGCTGGATCCGGCACCTCTTGATCGCCATGTTCATCCTCGTCTTCAACAACATGTTGGTCATCTTCGTACCCACCATCAGAGACATCTTTGGCTTCATCGGTAAGTCCTGACACACACTTTCTTTTTTTAAACTCACGTGAGCAAAGGCCTGTTTCCCCTGCCCTTTGAGCAGCAGATGTTAGAAGCCTCTTTGATACTTGCAGAAAGACACCTCAATGCTTAAAATAGCCGAGTTTGATCCTCCCTCGCTCATACAGAACTTTAGAAGTACTCTACTTTTTTGCTTAGTGCAGATTGAACCGCAGCCTAAATCGTCTAGGGTCTCGTTCTGTAACTCATGGCTGTCCTCCGTGCATTTTTAGCTTGGCAGGAGCAGCATTTTGTCAGCTTTTTTACTCGCTCACTCAATATCTTAACAGAGCACAGTCTATAGAAGGAGAGGCACATGGGAGAGTAAGGGATATCTGCTGAAGCAGTGAGAAAATTATAGCTGTGCAGATGCAATCTAACCACCAATTAAAGAGTAAAGTACTATTTTCAGCTGCAATATGATGATAATTTTAGTATTCACTCACTATAGATTGTACCAATTGAGAGAAGGCAACCTGACGCTCCATGCTTTAATGAACCCTTGGTCCTTTTATTGCAGGTGCTTCTGCAGCTACTATGCTCATCTTCATCCTTCCTGCCGCCTTCTATCTCCGCCTGGTTAAATCATTACCATTTACGTCCTGGCAGAAGATTGGGGTAAGCGTGCCTTGCCTTTCATCAACTTTCTGTCTTTCTTGAAAATACATCATTAGGTGAAAGTTCAGCCATCCCCATTGATCCGTTTTCTAACCTCATATCCAATTTTTCTCTCTTTGTCTCTAGGCGTTAGTGTTCCTGCTTGTGGGAATCGTCTTCATGATCGGCAGCTTGTCGCTCATCGTTCTCGACTGGATCAATCACCCACCCGGCTCTAAAGTTGGCCATTAAAGCCGCCTCCTGTCCCAATTCTGGATTCCTATTTAAAATGGCGGCAGCCCTTCTTTTCCCACCACACCACAAGTCATCTGTGTTACTTCGCTTGCTTGAATCATTTAAAACTGTCCAGTGTATGAACTGGACATGCTGTTTCTTGAGAACATTTTTATGTCCTGTATTTTGGAATGCAACTACTTCAGACTTTGATGTAAAACACCACAGACAGTCTGGAATTGTCATCATGATGAAGATATCTATTTCCAGCCTTGAAGACACTGATCAAATACAGTAGACAGCAGCTTTCACTTGAAGATCAGCATTGTGATTGGACCGCAGAGCTGGAAAGATGATGGCGTTTCCTGCTTTTCTCTAACTTTAAGTAACATTTATGGCTTTTGCCGCTACCCATGGAAAACCAAGCACTTCTTCAAGTATTTAATCACTTTAAGTGGAGATGCAGCAGACACCCCCACGCATGTAAAAATATGCACAGATATCGAACCATTTTTAAGCTACTATCCACAAAATCAAAGGAAACGGTTAAGCATTACAGTGTGTTTTATTTCTTTATCAAATTGGCTTATCATCAGATTAACAATCGGATACCTCGCCAAAGTCTGCATCATGGATGATCAATTTTTCCAGCTGTGTTAAAGAAGCGAGACGGTGCTTTCAGTATTACTGTCATACAGAGCTCTGTACATGGAGGGGATGAATGTACATAATTACGTATCATTGTACATAATATCTGCGCAGACCTATTGAGGGCTCTATTTCTTCAGGTTATTTGAATATTAATTGTCATTTCAAGATATATACATGCTGGAATAACTGATCAGGCACTTAATGTTGGTTAGTCAGCTGGATGTAGAATCATTTGACATTAATTTCACTCTAGGTTATGTAGATTAGCTAAAGGTAACTAGAGTTTTAACAAATGAAAGCAGAAATACTTGAGTTTAAGATTGTTTTAGCTAAATATCTTTATCATCTGATCTCTTCGCTCATAAATGCAAAGGCCATGTTTTAACATCGTTCTTAGTCTTAATTCCGACTTTATCCACATGAAAGTTTCATGTAAAGCTAACTTAGCAGCTAGCTGTTAATGCTAGGGTGCATACCGATTGGCTTCCTACGCCCCATCTGCACTACCCCTCTGAAACCGATCGGTATCGAGTTCGGATTGAGCTTGGATCAGTTAACCGTGCCGAGATTTATTCTTACGATCATTTGCACATCACGCTAGGGCGGTTCCTCGCCTCCTGTTGGCAGTTCAGGATACTACAACTCTCAAAAATGGCTGATTTCGATGAAAGCCTTGGTCTCTGCATCATCCCAGCTCGATTTGATACCATTTATTGTTATTAGGCTGAGAAAAGTTTATTTGTCCTGCACAGGTGATGAGATCTGTGAATTGCAAAGCTGGACAAGCCTGAAAACTCGCGAAATGACTCAGCTGTAAATAGGAGACGATTCGGCCTGCTCCTGCGCTCTTTGTCATCAGAAAACCGAGCCACAGATGAACCGCGTCGAGCCCTACTGTTGAACTAGTACTACATTTAGAGCGGATTGGTTGTGTTTGACACAGCCCAGTTCAGTTGCGTTCAGTCCCATTTCAACTCAATAGTTATCTCGGTTACCTGCTTGGTCCGCTCTTGGCATGGTCTAAAAAAGGGTAGCGTAAATGGGGCTATGGCTACAAGTCTGTTCTACTATCTGCTCCACTGAAAAAGCCTGCAGCATCTAAATGTAGTCATCTCTATATGCCCACTATGTTCGTCTTTCAATCAAGATCTTTTTTGAAAAGCTAACTTGACACGCGACCAATGACAACGATACTCCCATTCTAAAGGTGGCGCCAAAAAAAAAAAAATCGTGAAGAAAATTTCTATTTATAGAAATTATACTAAAAAAATAAGATTTTTTTATTTCTCATTTTGATAATGTTACCTTTGTGAAACCAGAAAAGGATATTTACCAATGATAATACTTATTATTTCTCCCTCCTCTATGTGGAGAACATAGAAGTCAGCACATTATCGTTTCCGATGAGATTGTAGTGAACTCAAAATAGCTGTGATTCAAAGTGTGGTTCAACAAACCCCACAATAGTTTAAATAGCTCTGTCTAATTATTGTTGGTGAGGTTTAAGGGGATCGGGTTTATGTATGTAGAGGGGTAGCTTTAACAACTTTAACGCTGCATTTGGTTCGGAAGTCGAAGCTCAGACGTGGAAATGATGTCACTTTAGATCCAGGTTTTATGTGTCCAGTGGCCATATTAGTTTTGAGTTTGAAGCTGGCAATATATGCTATTCCAGTTTCAGGATTAGGTTCAATTGTTAGTACTTTTGGTTTTCGAAATTTAGATTAACTCCACATTTTTTATTTATACTTAGATTTGAAATAGTATCTGTACCTTTTAACTGAATTCTGTGTTGTTTAAGCCAATAACTGTAGATGAAAGATAGCTTCCCTTTGTGTTCATGGAGTTTTTATTAACATTTAAAAGGGTATTTTACTGCTTTTACTTTGAAAACCTTTTAATTTCTTTAAAATTCACTCCTCAAATCAGATTTTAATAAAAAAAAATGTATCAACATTTTTTATAGATGGCTTACACAGGTTTCTATTATATTCAATTTCTACCAAAATGGTCTTGTAAGGCAATAAGTTAATCGATGTACATGCTAAATCTCACTATTATAGCCTGTTCTATATGGTTTTAAAGGAGATTGATTATTTTATTTCTAGTTACTGGTAGTTAAATTTATGTTTGAAAAGGATAATTTAAAGGTGTTCCCTAAATCATTAACCCTAAACGTCACATTTATCAAAACCTGGCCTGACACTTTTCCAGTTTCAGCTTTGCTCGCTTACCGAACCATCTCCAGCTGCTAGCCATATATTTAGCACATAGATTAAAGAAATGTCTGTCTTCCGGCCTTAATTTGTGCTGAACTGAACAATATCTTTTTTATCCATTTCAAAAACACATAAGAGCCATTTTTTTAAACTGTGATAGAAATGAAATGTCTAAAAGTACTTAGGTCAATGCTAAACTAAAGTCGACTGCAATATTGTAATTCACTCTATTTCATATATAAATGCCTTTTATATACACTTCAAAATGAATGCCCTGTAAATCCGGATTTCAAATTCAAATAGTGCCTTTTGCATACTTTTCATTTCTCTTTATTCAGGCCTCCAAAACAGGTGCCTTTATTAAAGCATCTCAGATTTGTCTGATTCCACGTGCAATCGTTATGCCCTTAAGTCACATGAACACACCCAGCCAAAGTAGACATTTATAGATCCTTTGTGGATCTTCGTACGTGAAGCAGATAGATATTTCAAATGAAATAGTGTATTATGTGCAGGTTTTTGGATTACAAACATGGTCTTTTTTTGGACAATTGTATATGCTGTGTAAATAATCTTTATTTTATGGTACACTGACATTCATCACCTTTGAGTGGGTTGTGGGGGGATCGTACTTGAGAAGCCTTTTACAATCAAGTGTTTTATTTTTATTATACATGTTATATATAAATGTGGACGAGTGTTAGACTTTTATTTCTCTTGCTGTATGACAGTAGTTTTCTTTTTTTTCTTTGTAGAATGTTTTCCTTATATACATATTTTCATGTTTTAGTGTGACCTATGGATCAGAATGCATTATACCAGGAGTCAACTTCTGAACATTTGTTTCCCTCATCTCTTTGAATCAAGGCATTACATTTCAGTTAATCACCAGGTTCAGAAGCAAAACTCTAGGAAAGCTGAATTTCAGAAGCAATACCAGAAATCTTCACCTCAGGATATTAAAATGCCAATACCATGACAATCGTAAATTTCTAAAGGTTACTGAAGCTTGCAAGTGTATCAATGCTGTCGTAGAAATATCTTTGGTGAAGTTTAACTTTGTATAACTTTACTTGAATCAAAGCATTTGATAGCCTGATAGTGCCAGCAGGCTTTTATGCTGAAAGGGTGTTTTCTTTAACCTTGTTGAAATTTTACCAAGAAGTATACCTGTCCACACTACACATTGGCCCTCTTGAGTATCTCAGGTCCTTGGTCTGGATTCATTTGTCCCTACATTTATGATTACAGTGCCTAAGAACTTTACCTCAGCCCATGCTGTAAAAAAAATATATATACATTTTGTGCTTGCATAGAAAAAGAAACCTTCCTGTGCTCCAAGAGAAAACACCAGCAAAATTTGAGGGAAAGGTGAACAAAACCATCTCTTGCCTTATTTTTCTACGGACCCTCAGGCATGGAGAAGCATTGGCTCAACGTTTTTGCTGTTCCCAATGTCTTTACTCCCTGTGGATCAGGCTAAACATTCAGATTTGTAATTTACCTAGAGAGTGTCGTTTTTGTTTTGTATCAGTGATGTTTCATTACGGTGAACAATAAAAATGTGAAAGGAAAAATAAATGTGGCTTTTTGAATTTATTTCTTACATTTTTAAAGGTTCTACATACGAATAAAAACACAATTAAGCAGACATTTCATTTTGGGAGATTTCAACACATCAATAGTTCATAAAAAAGAAGTACAAGGACAAAAATAAATAATTTTCAACAAATTTCACAAACAAAAAGGAGAAAACCTGGGTGCCTTGTTAATTGACCTCCCTTTGGTACCTCTAAAAAAATTCTAGTCCACCTTTACGTATATAGAAATATATAAAAGTCTAAGAATAAATATAAGTGGCAGCTATTCTTTAAAAATCCTTAAGTTTGTTGAGTCCTCAGTCACTTGAAGAGCAACAGAGCTTAAAATTTTTTATTTGGTACATCAAAATTACTAAGAATGCAAAAAAAAAGAGTGCTGTTGAAAGTTTTCCACAATCACTCTGATAACAGCTTCATGTATGTTTGGATGCTTTTATCCAGCATAGACAAAATTGATCAAGGCATTGTATATTGAATGGAGCTACATGCACAAAAATCCTAGAAGAAAAACTTTGAGAGGTTGGAAAACCTGTAACCTTCCAGGGAAGCGATTCACGCTGCAACAGGATGATCTAAAGATGTAAGCTGCAGCAAAACGGGGGAAGTTCATGCATATTTATGTCTTGAAAAAGCCAGGCTAAATGTAAGCTTTACATCCAATTGGGAATCACTGGCAAGACTTGAAAATGTATAAATAAGAGGAATTTTACAAAGAATGACCCAACAATTCATCCTAAAGACATGCAAATTAGGCAGATAGATTTCCCCCTAAAGACTTGCAAATGTAGTTAAAGGTAACATTCCGATTGGGGAATACGCATGTGCATCAAAGTTTCATTTTGGAGAAACCTCTGTTTTAATTCAATTCAGTTTATTTATATAGCGCCAATTCACAACACATGTCATCTCAAGGCACTTTACAGTTCAACCAGATCATACAGTCAAATTGATTCAAAGTTTTCTATCTAAGGAAAAACAGTTGAATGCATCGACTTATTGAGTTGAATGCAGTCTCTCACACTAAGCATGCTTGTAGCTACAGTGGAGAGGAAAAACTCCCTTTTAACAGGAAGAAACCTCCAGCAGAACCAGGCTCAGTGTGACCGGCCATCTGCTGAGGCCGACTAGGGTTCAAGAAGACAGAAGCAGAGATACAAAAAGCAGCTATAAACACAGGAATTGTGTTTTTGTCAGAACAAACATTTAAGGCACTTTGCAAGAAACTGCATATATACGGTAGGTGAAATTGAGGTGGAATACAAGAAGACAAAATATGCAGTTTATATATGGTTATATAATCTATTAAATAATTCCTGAGATGAATAAAGGAAATTATACAAACATGCTTGATATAGGATTTAAATAATTAAAGATAACACCAAGGATTTTTCAGTTATTATCTGAGACCAATTTAATGGCATTCAAATCAAGCGAATTACTTTTTATGAAAACCAACCAAGGGGATGGGTTAAGTGCAGTGGTAAATTTCTCCATTGAGAGATCAACAAAGATCAATTTATTATTATTATAATCAGATTCTTTTTTAAAGATTCTGGTCCATAGACAAAATATTCTGTGTTGTCTGTATTCAAACGAGGAAACTGTAAAGTCATCCAGGTTTTTAAGTCTTTAAGACATGCCTATAGTCTATGTAATGGATTAGTTTCATTTGAATCTATAGAAATATAGCTGAGTATCATCAGCATAACAGTGAAAATGAATCCCATGGTGTCCAATGATTCTACCAATTGGGAAGAAAAGTGACCCTGACACTGATCCCTGCTGTACTCCACAGGTTAACCCTATTATTATCATGAACAACTGGAAAGATAAATAAGATTTAAACCAATGCCTAGTGATGGAATGGTTGATTAAAAATCTAATTTCATCACCCAGCAACAATACTAAAACATAAACAATTTGCAATAATTATTCACAGCAAATAATTTTTCTGCTCATCTCTGCAAAACAGAGATTTATGCTGATTCTTATACAGTATTGATATTATGTTATTTTCTAAATTACCACTACAGATTACTACAATAGGATACAATAAAAATTAGCAGATGCTTTATGGTAAAACACTGGTTCAGGTTCTTCATGAGGACTCTTCCTTTTATGAATGATGCCCCAAATCGGTAACAGCTTAAAGACTCTCCCCGTCTCCACAGATGATTCATTTCTATTTCAGTTAGTGGGTCACCAGGCTCTGTCTGGAGCCAAGTTTTCTGAAACGTGAACTCGACTGAAAATCTCAGTCAGAGAAATGTTTCAGTTTCAAATGTAGGCGCTATATCAGCAGCTGTTCTACAGTGATAGGATACTGTACTGTAGCTTTTTCTCTGCAGAAACTGGAGGTTTCATACTCTTTTTATTTGCCTATTTGGGTTGCCTAGATACTTTTCTAGTTGCAATGATGCAAAAAAAATGGTTTTCTCCCAAACATATATCGTCTGTTTTTATTTTTTTGTCACAGTTATATATTACTACATTATATTACCGGTATATTATATTATACATATAGTATTTGTAACATTGCAAATGCAATACCTGGCTATTATGTTTAGACGACATTGTTTATTCACATAGAGCCAATAAAGTACATCTTGTTCTAGCTTATACGTATATTCCTTCTCTAATATTAAATATTTTTTTATCTGAAACTTTTTAATGCATCAAGAAATCAAGAAAAAGTGTTAAAATACCTGTTGAAATAATTTAAACCTATTTCCTCATAGTTAGCAAAATAAATCGGAATCATTATCAGCCTCTGTACTTTAATTGATAGGATGCATCAGTGCAGGATCCAAGCTAAAAATAAAAAGCATGCTGTGTTGCTATGCAAAGTCTGGGAATAATGAGTTTCTGCATTTACATTGGTATCTTTCCTTCTTTATTTCCCTTTTTATTTGCCATCACAAACTTTTGCTTTATTCGTTTTGTTTTTGCCTTGCAAAAATTAAAGAAATCCGTTGAGCAGTTTCATTATTTGTCCTGTTAGAAGCACAGACCTTCAAGTATTTTATTGGATTTCATTTAAAAGCCTGACACAATATACCTCTAAACTGGATACCTCTAAACTAAAAAAAGGAGTATCTAAAATGTTAAATAGTGGGTCTATGCATGTGTTTCTTAGTTGAAACTATTCGCTTTCCATAAAGCAGATCATCTTAACTGTTTGGAGCATAGTTCTTGTATGTTTTGTTATGCCTAAAAACTGAGTGAAAAAATTAACCTGGAAATAATGGGTGCCGCTCTGGGTTTGCAGGAGAACATGCCGGTCTGCAAGTAGGTTTAATAACCCAAAAGAATATAAAGATCCAGGTTTACAAAAGACACGCAAGATGAAAGTGTTCCCACACAAAGACTGTCTGACGTACTGGATACACACTGTTCTTGGTCATATTAACTGATAATGAGTCATCCTGATGGTGTGAACATAACTTTCCCTTCACCTTCAACACCTGCGTTAAAAAGTACTGCCAAAACCGCAATAAATATGCAGATAAGGAACATTTTGGTCGTTATAAATATTTGGCACAACAAGCACCACGATTTTTCTGTTGCAGTACTCCTTTTTTTCTGTTCTACTTCCCTCTACCTACAGTATCAAAAGTTTTAACTTGCAAGAAACTAATATACCTGCACTAAATTAAAACGCTTTTTTCAGTTAATATCTGAAGAGTATTTTCTAGAATCCTCTGAGCTTCTGAAAAGTGTTTTTGTCTGCCATATTGTTTGTATTGGATGTAGTTCTGGATTGATGCATTCTCTCGCAGGAAGACTTTTCATACATGGGGTTAAGCATGAAGGCTAGACAGTTCCGCTTTGATATCGTTTAACAAGAGTATTTGCAGTGTCTCCCACATGGTTTGCAGCAAACCTTTACTTTCTTATACCTCATCCAAAATAGGCAGCTATCTGGAGCTATTTTCTATATGCTGCTATATTTTTAGGCTTCTAGATGACATAGAGACCACTTTTCATCATTCTACTTTATTCTATCTCTATTCTCCCACTCTGCAGAATTTGTCAGTTCAATCTCTAACATTATGCTCTCTCTGCTTTTTCTCATCATGGCAGCTTCATCTGGTTTGTTCCTGTTTGGCTGTAACACCATCCTGGAGAGAAACATCAGCTCTTCTGCTGCCATAAACACATTTGTTTATAGATGTTAGAACTTGGCCTGTTTTTCAATGTAGTCCTGTTTCTCTGACTATGATTGGCTGGATTTGCTCTCTTTATCCTTTAACATGGGAGCTGGCTCAGAGATCCCCTGCCTGGCTGTGTGTTTCCTGGATAGGGCCACCTGTGGAGCTGGTTGACAGTTGCCTTTTGTGTTTTCGAACCTCAGTCGCCTCAGCAGATGGCTGCTCACACTGCCTCTGGTTCTGCTGGAGGTTTCTTTCTGTTAAAAGGGAGTTTTACTACTGTCGCTACAAGCATGCTTAGTGTGAGGGATTGTATTTGAGTCAATGACTCAATACAATCAAGTTGTTTTCCTTAGATAGAAAACTTTGAGTCAATTTGACTGTATGATCCGGTGGAATTGTCTCTGTAAGGTATCTTGAGATGACATGTGTTGTGAATTGGCGCTATATAAATAAACTGAATTGAATGAGAAATTTACTGAGGCATCATCAAGTTTGGATAAGATATGCCTTTATGGCGGTCTAGCGGTTTGGGCAT